AAGAATCCTCACGGAGGTGACATTCTTCCTCCAGCCATGACTCACACCCAAAGTTTCTACAGTGGCAGCAGCTAGGACCAACATGCGCCATGTCCTTTGTATATAGCATGAGCCCGTGGGACACATTTCTTATGTCAATCATGACAGGTTTGGGGCTTGGTTTTTGTTTGTTTGTTTGTTTGTTTGTTTTTAATGTTTTATATGAAGAAGAATCAACCTAGCTTGTTTATTTCTCATGTCCTGATACTGGGCACCAAGTTATGGCTATTTTAACTCCCAGAGCATTCCTAGTCTATGGCTGACTCCCAGGGACCACTGCTCTCATTTAACCTGTCCTCAGTGTCACAGACACAAACTTCTACCTGGCCTCTCTCACCCTCATGCCTGACTCCTTATTTCATCTGGGTGGTTTGTAGGGTGTCTTAGGGTTCTCTAGAGTCACAGAACTTATGGACTGTCTCCGTATATTAAAGGAAATTTTTGGAATGATTCACAGGCTGCAGTCCAACTAACCCAACAATGGGCAGCTATGAATGGAAAAATCCAAGAATCTAGTAGTTGCTCAGTCCAACGAGGTTGGGTGTTTCAGCTGGTCTTCTGTGTAAGATGGAATCCTGAAGAAGTAGGTTCCAACAGATGTGCTGGCAAGTGCAGGCAGGTGAAGAGTGAGCTTTCCTTCTTCCAATGTCCTTATGTAGGCCTCCAGCAAAAGGTGTGGCTCAGATTAAAGGTGTGTACCACCATGCCTGGCTCTAAGCTGTTCTTGGAATTTGCTCTGTCCCAGGCTGGCCTTGAACTCAGAGATCTTGCTTCTATCTTCTGGGATTAAAAGCATATGCCACTTTGCCTGGGCCTAAGCTTCTTATGGCCACTATGCCTCAAGATCTGGTTCAAAAGCATGTGTCTTCCAGCCTGAAGCTCTGGATCACAGGTGTGCCCTCCATTTCTGGATCATAGTTCATTCCAGATATAATCAAGTTGACAACTGGGACTAGCCATCACATAGGGGAAGTACATCCAATTTTAATGTTCATTCATCAAATATTAACTGAGTCTCTACTATGGCCAGTCTTTGCTGTATGTGTTTACAATAAATACCTCAGTGAGCAAAACACACAATCTCAGTCCTTATAGAAATTACAGGCTAGTGGGAGCAAAATAAAACAAATATAGTAAGGTATATGATGTTTGTGAAGCTGAAAATGGTCTGAAAAAAATAAAGAGAGTTAAAAATGTCCAGTATCCACACGTATGTGATGGGTACCCAAGGGAAAGTGTGCAGTGTTTGGTGAGGTAGCTGAGATAGGCCCTATAGAGAGGTTCATAGCATCAGAGGAGGGGAGGGAGGGAAGGGAGGGCACCATGTGGGGGCCTAGGAGAGGAGGATTTTGCTGAGAGAAGTGCCAAAGATGGGCTCTTGGGTGGGACATATCTGAAGAGCCTGAGGAAGGGCAGTCAAGCTACAATGGCTGTAGCAGTATAGGTGACCTACAAGAGTGAGATCATGAGATCAAAGCTTCAAGAGAGGTCTGGGAGGCCAAGATGGATGGAGGCCTTGTGGTGGGTCCATCATTATGTATAAGGTGTTATGACTTCTCTATTGATAGATCTCTGTCATGATAAGGTCAAGAAATAGAGGAGGATATGGTAAGGGGTGATGGTGCCTCTCTTCTAGATAAAGTATTTCATGACCATTTCATGTAGCCTACAAAACATGCCAGGATGGAGACCCTGTTTAATTTCCTCCGTGCGTTTCTTGATGATGCCTACGCCAGTGACCCACCATGGTCTGAAGCAGGTGACCCTCTAACAAACACCATCTTCTGTCATGTTCTTTGTATCTGCCTTGGTGTGTCCTTTGTCTGCTTAGAGTCCCTTTCAGGCCTTTTATGTGGCACCTTTTCTTAGAGAGGCCTTCTGGTTCTGCACAGCTTATATTCCCAATGTAGCTAGGATATACCTCATTAACTGGTGTTATACCTGTGAACCAGGATGTTTTCTTCACACTCTCTGTCACTACACTGGAACTCCCATAGCATAGGGATTACAAGTTTTATTTATGAATCCCAGTAGACTGTAGATGGATGGATGGATGGATGGATGGATGGATGGATGGATGGGTAGATAGATGGGTGGATGGATGGGTGGG